GAGATCCAACTCGAGATCCAACTCGAAATCCAACTCAAAATCCAACTCGAGATCCTAACTCTGGGTTTAGTTTATCTCAAGCCAAAGGAAGGCAAATTACTAGATATCTATCTCATCAAAGAGTAATCTCAGCTTAGGATGATGATATTCATTTCTATTGTTCAGACCAACATTTCCATTTGATGAAGAGGCTCCTCCTCCATTACCTCCAAAGACCATCATCCAACTCGAGATCCAACTCGAAATCCAACTCAAAATCCAACTCGAGATCCTAACTCTGGGTTTAGTTTATCTCAAGCCAAAGGAAGGCAAATTACTAGATATCTATCTCATCAAAGAGTAATCTCAGCTTAGGATGATGATATTCATTTCTATTGTTCAGACCAACATTTCCATTTGATGAAGAGGCTCCTCCTCCATTACCTCCAAAGACCATCAAAACAGGTGTTCTTGTAGACATAGAAACAAGTACTAATCAAAATGATGGCCTCTGCAAACTAGAATATCCTGCTGATGAACCTCCTGCTCTTCCCAAGAAGCAAAGGGAATTAAGAACTCTTGAAATGGACATTCATCAAAATGCTAATGAGAGTGATAATAAACGTAGTAGTAAAGAACTTGACAATGGCGATGACAATTCTATACAGAATGGACATCGCAATAGCTCTATATCCACATCATCTTTTATGGGACTTAAAATGCTGCAAGACAGTGCTTTATCAAAGTACAGTGAAGGTAACACCCTTAGTACTCTTTGTCAATTCTTGCAACAACGTAAAWCTAGTTGAAAAGCAATGTTGTGTGTTTTACCTGTAAACCGACTTAACTCACTACAAGATGAGCTGTTGAGAACCATGTAGGTCATCTACTTTTTGCAATAACATCTTGTGATGTTATGTGTATGTCATGACCCCAAACACAAATTGTTCTGCTGCTGATGTTCAGATCAAGCTGGAATGTTTGTTTTCAACTTAATGTCACATCACTTGATAGTGTAAGGCAATCAGAAATCTGAATTAACTTAATGTCTGCAACGTTCAATTATTTTGCTACATGACCAGTTTGACTTTACTGCTAGAATAATGTGGAACATGCAAAACAAATTGAACCAGAATTGTGGCTTGTTACATTTCTCGCTGGGCACAAATCTTTTTGGATCAGTGGACAAGTCAACAAGCCAGTGCTTACCATTAGCCTTTCCATTTCTCTTTCTATGAAAAATGAAGATTATTAATTTTGTATTTTCTTTATCATTTTTTTTTTACAGACAGCTATGAAAGAAAAAGAACAAGGGCTGCTGAAGTAAGAGGGACCAAATTATATAAAAGAAAATAAGTAAAATAAAGAACACATAATACACCTGAATGAAGAACTTGATTTCACTTTACATTTTGATGATGACAGTTATGAAATACAATGTTGTTGTTTCAACGATTGTCCCAGTTGTATCTTATGGTTGGTCCTGTCGGTACCCTTAGCAGCCTATAACACTATATCTGCTGAATTCTTGTAGGAGCTTTTGACCTCAGAGATGTCTTACTTCAGTGGAATCAATATACTTATATCGGTAAGTTTTGTTAAATAATTTATGGCAGATCAGTAGTATTAGCTTGTCACCCAGGGTACTGGCATACCTCTTCTAAAATGCTGAGATACTAGAAGCTTGAGGGAGCATATAAACCAACTGATCACCCAACTAGTGATAGTTATTACTTTATGTTAGACAGCTTCATCTATTCAGACAGCTTTAAATTATTCTGAAATTCTTTTTCATTTAAATTTTAGAATTATTTAAGACCAATCAAAGATCTTTGTCTAATACCAAAAGATGATATTCATAGGATATTTTCAAATATAGAGGTAAGCTGATAAAGATGTACATGAATAATGCTAATAGAGGTAAGCTGATAAAGATGTACAATGCTAAGGATGCAACATTTTCTTTTCAAGTGTATTAAGGTTACAGTAAGCCTTCGGTACAGTTTGCAAATCCCCAAGTTAAAAAGTTATTTTTGTTTCTTTTTTAAAAAGAACTATTAAATAGCATTATGGTATATCATATTAAAGCTCTTTGACTAAACAATTATGTCTGTCAGGTCAGCTCGATCACCAAGATTCTTAATAGACTACTTTAAGTAGTCTGATAATTTTTAGCTGAGGTCAAGATTTTAGCTTTTTACATGCGACACCCTTCAGCACACAGTTGGCGTTTTTGGATTATGTGTTAAATGTCGAACCACATGTCAAAAATGTGCAATTTCAAATTCTAATGAAGATAACTCTGCAAATAAGAAAAAAAAGTATAAAAAACACTGACATGGTTTGAAGTTCAGTATGTATTGATAGACACACATAAATTACGATAAAAAATAATTATTTATTTAAATATTCTTTTATTATATGATTATCTTAAAATGTGGTTATTTTATATGTCATTTGAACAGACTTTAGCTTCTATTAGTAAAGAAATGGTATCTAAATTGCAACAAAGACTTGCAAAATGGGATCCTGAAAAAACTGAGATTGGTGATGCTTTATTAGAAGTAGTAAGTGAGCAACCAACTATGTTGATTCTTAGTAATGATCCTTTGAATTAGGTGAAATTCAATTTTGTTGCTCAACATTTATTGATTTGCTTAAAAAAACGTTTATCCCATCAAATATAACATATTTTTGAGACTTTTAAGTCTCAAAAATTATGTCTAACTAAAATTAGACATAATTGTGTCCATTGCTTTGGAACCTGTGATATGTTTTCAAATTTTCAGTTTCCAAGTGCTGTCCTGGGTACATACATGTACTAGACATAAATGAGGTGGACAGATCCCCTCCTTCATGTCTTGTTAGACAGAAAGCACTAACTTACAAGAACCAGAAAGGATTAACACACATTCAAGATACTGTATATTTAATCTTATATTATATTATGTAATGATTGCAAAAATATTTCTTTTTAGTTTGCATACCTTAAAATGTTTGAGCCATATTTTAATACAAGAAAAAAAGGCAATGAGGTGAGCAAAATTATGATACTTTAATTTACTTTTATTTGTGCATTTTGATCAAAATTATTTAATTTGTTGTAATGTTTGTAACAAGGGATTTTTAATGAACAAAATACTTTCAACATCTGTGGATACACAATGTAGTTTCCACTTTCCATATGCGGCCACCATCATAGGTAGCAAAAGTATCACTCCATTTCTTAGTTTTCAATGTCCATCAAAAATGCAGGCAAACTCCATGTATGTGTGTTATTTCACAGGTTATGAGATATTAATTTTGATCTATCCTTTCATTGTGTAGGTGAAGTCCAAACTAGAAAAAAGCAATGACAAGTTCAGGACTATTGTCTCAAAGGTAGGTTTTCATGGTTACCGCACCATCTTGAAAGGTAGCCATGCCTTTGCATTGGAAGGAGATGAACGTTGAGTGTGCAAAGAGAGGAACAGTCTTCTTTCACACATACAGACAATTAGCCACTGGTATCTATGTATCATTTCACACTCAACAGTCATCTCGTATCTGTCTGCAATAACATTGGTTCCATTGATTCCACCAATGCAATTGCAGACAGACGCATGCAATTACAATGTAACCATCTTAGTTTATTAAGTATTCAAATGTTATTGTATCTGTGTAATTATGATTCTAAGAGCACGCTTCACCAGCGCGATCTCTAAGAGCGTGCTATATTTGAAACATGCAATGAATTGTAAGAGTTTATTAGCGATTGAAAAGGTTTGTAAATAAACGAAACGTGTTTCCTGCTAAAAAGTGTGTTAAGTGTGTTAAGACTAAAGACACGTTGAAGTCAATGAAAAAGAAAAAATTTGAGGTAACTTTGAGAATGTTTTGATATTATTATTATAATTATAATTAATTCAGGTTATCAATGGGCAAACTATGGATTCTCTGTTATTGATGCCTATACAAAGAATTCCAAGATATGAAATGCTGCTAAAAGAACTTGTTAAAAGAACAAAAGAGGTACRTTATATCATTATATTACAATGTATCATTGTACCACTGTGTATTGTAAGGTGATGCSTGGGTTAATGTTGGRTGAAGAATGTGTTTTTGGTACCTATATTATTGTTCAAACTAGTAAAAATGACAAGCCTTCGCATAGTCCTCTTTCTATCATGTTCTCCTTATGAAAACTATAATAGAAAATATATTATCATATTTCATTTCCAGGATCACCCTGATTATGGAAATCTAAAAGAAGCGCTTCTTAAGTCACAGAAAGTAAGACACTAGCATATTTTGTTAGTATGTATGGAAATTATAATTATATATTATATCTCTGTCACTAAACTTGTGTTTTGTTGACTTATTAAGGCTGCTGCAGAACTAAATGAACATTTAAGAAGAATTGAAAATGAAACAAAAATTATTGAAATTATGAAAAGCTTTCCTAATGATGAATTGGTAAGTGATGAAATCTAATTTTAGTAAATAATTTATAGGCTATACAGTAGCATCATGTGGACATCCAATTACAGTGTAGTTGTTAGTACTAAAAATATTTCCTGATTTCTGAGCTCAGAGGTTGTTTGATAAGGATATCATCAATGAGTCTAACCTTTCAAAGGTTGCAAAAAGTAAACACATGCAATACTGTATTTGCTGCTTACTTTTTGTAAGAAATAATGATTATGGCAGTGAAATATATTAATCAAAGTGATTATTTATACATGGATTGCCTGGAAAAAGTTTTGGCTTCAACAGGAATGGAAGACACTTTTTCCTTGTTGTCCATTTACACGAGCAAATTTCGTCCTTGACAATTTTTCCTTGCCACATTTCCCTTGTTGTCCATTTACACGAGCAAATTTCGTCCTTGACAATTTTTCCTTGTCAAGGAAAAGCAAACATGTTGGTCTTTCCTTGACAAGGAAAACTTGCCGCTTTATTCCTTACATATTTATTCAACACAGTTAGTACAATCATGTCATTAATTAATTTGTGTTTAACATTCATCAAAAGAACAATAGATGTATTGACTAATTAGTGGTTGCTCTTTCTTTCTTTAGAATTTAATTCATGTAGCAAATCAAATTTGTCTTGGTAGGTACACTGCTGTTAATATTTCTTTAGAAATATCTTGTAAGATTAATTGTACTGCAACAGTAAAATATTATAACGAATATTAATAACTTTTAATATATTTTTGTTTCAGCAAGAACATTTGGATCTGGAAGGTTAAAGTAAGTTAGGATCTACTCAATATTGAATTCCCAGGCTATTTATGAATAAAGATTTAATATCAGATTCAGATATGGTGGTTATTGATGTCTACAATAAATGGGACATCTTGTGTTGTCCCTTGTCTTTGCAATGGAGTTAGGTTTTCATTAACATTTATTGAAATTTCTGCAATTGAGGGACAAATTAGCAACCCCTCCCCCCCTGCCCCAATAGAGTGTTGCTAGTCCACCATGGAAAAGATGCTAGACATTGCCACTACAAGAGGTTGGGAAGCATGGAACTAGAGTTTTTTCCTTGTCACAACTCCGCATTCCATGGAACTGAAATTCCAAGGTTTATCTTCATTTAACTCTACAAACCTTTAAACTTCCAGGAAGCAAGAAAAAGAACAAATGTACTCAATTAACAAGAAAATTAAAAGGTCAGCAATTTTTTTGAATATATACGTGCTATGTACAATTATTATTATCATTAATGCATCGATGATGGTTGATAGTTATCTTCAAGCACTGGCAATAATAATAATAATAATAATAATAATAATAATAATAATAATAATAATAATAATAATAATATGTGGTATTTATATAGCGCCGATATCAATCACATGGAAATTACTGGAAATGCAAAAGAGTGTGCAATAATACAGTGTAAAAATCTGTGTATTGTATGTAGAAAAAGACCATACTGTATTTGAAATGAGGAATATTTGTTTTAATATTAGGATGTCTTTACCATTGGCTAGTGCTATTGAGGTGCCACCACAAACTCCTCTAACTCGCTCCAATACTGCTTCTCCTGTACCTGGAAGACGTCAACACTTTGAAAGTGACAGTGATAGTGACAGTGAGCCAGATCCTGGTTCTGTTTTGGGTGATAAATTTATTACAAGGTAATTAATASAGTCATCATGATTAAGGACTTAATAAGAGGTTTTCAAAACTGTCATTGTTTGTAAGTAGGGTGAGGTGGGTACAGTGCAACACATAAACAGCCCACAATGCTGTATCATATTACTGATGTACAATGTGATTGGCTGATCTGCGTGTTTGACCCACAATGATTTTGATCCATAAAAATACTCAATTCTGATTGGTTAAAATGTGTGTTAAATGGGAGCTGTTAACTATTGCATTATATACTATGAAGACCAGATTCCTTAATTTCTTTGGAAAATAAAGCAGCATGCCATAGTATAGTATAAAATTAATATGATATAATTATACAGTTTCCTCTGAAGCTTCTTATATTTAAATATTATTGTCAGTAAATGTTCATAGCAAACTTATTATACGGTTTAAAGTTGTAAAGGTAAATTATCTTTTGACATTTTACCTGTTAGAACAACCTCATACCTAAACATATTTAAGTGAAACATTTGTGCATCATTTATCAATGCAAATGTTATGATCCATTTAGYACTTACATTTATGAGGGTCCAGTGGAGAGAGTAACAAGAAAAGCCACAGGATCAAGTGAAGGTGGAATGGTGCATGAAACTGTTGAGAGGTATCTGAAGTTGATAGGAGAAACTKCCAGAATTCATAACATTAGCCTGGCCTTTAGCACGGGAAAACATCAAAATATGGGATATAATAATTTTTCTTCAATGTATCAACAACTGAAACTGTCTTGATAAAAATTACTGSAACTCTTGATTCTTTGAAGTTAGATATATTAGAGTTGTTGATAGAAATTTCAATAATCACCCACAAAGGAATCAAGTTGATGTTGATAAAGGCGAGTCACATGGAAAGCTATAAAAACTGCCTTCTTACTAATCATAGTAGGGCACTTTGCCTTGATTTCTTTCTGACGTGTAAATATTCACCAACAGTTATAATTCAGCTGTTGACCAAGACACACTTGTTATCCTACAAATACTGTTATATTGACCAGTATAATGATTTCACGATATTGAACAAAGTGAACTTTCATTCTTCTCATTTTAGGTATTTGTTTCTTTTCAATGATGTTATACTTGTTTCAGTGGTAAGATAATAATTAGTCAAAGACTATTTTCAGAAAAATATAAGTTAGGCTGAATCTGTATATTGTTCTGTTTATTTTTGAGTGAAGTAAAGTAAATCATGAGAGATGTGCTGTAAGTACGASTTGTGGTTATAGCTTTCTTGATTTCATTCTAGGCATCTGATAATGTACTTACTGGTAAAAGAACTCATAAACTGAAAAATGCACTGCCTCTATCCCAGTCATGGGTCATGCAGTCTCATGTGTATTACAGCAATCCACCTGAAAACAGTAAGTTGCTTTTCTGACATACATTTACTTTCCTAAGGATTTCACTGTAAATTGATTGCTTTTCTGGAACATGAAATGTTTGACTGCCTCTTAACCACTCAAGCAGTCTTATTTTTATTATAGCTAATTTTCTTTATTGGAATTGAGGAAGTACAAAACTTTAATTATTGACCTTAATTTGATTTTCAGTGTTTCTCCTTGGTACACCATCACAGATTTACAAATTTTTAGCTCCTTCAGTCAGAGAAAAACAAATGTGGGAACAAAAACTAAAAGATTGCATTGTAGTAGCGAAAGAATCTCTTCTTCATGTAAGAATTTGCTGTCTCATAAAATATGAATGAATTCAAAAGTATGCATTATTGCAGTATATATTTAACATAATTAATAATATATATTTTCAATTTGATAGTGTTTTAAAGGTATCCCTTTGCCAGACCAGCAGTTTACAGCTGTCACTGTTGAAGCCAAGATTGATTAYAACAAAACAGTTGATGTTGGTGAGTCGTTTGTGATTATTTGAATGATATTAAACTTCTAAAACTTTTAAACTTTTAAATTTCAACTAAATCTACTTGATGAATAGTGGTTAATGTTTGCAATGACAGATGTACACATGATTCTTGATTCTTGATTCTCATTTCATTTTCATGACAGGTAATTGTTTGATTAGTTACATATAGATGTTTATGATTTCACTAAGATATAATAATTATTATGTATGTCCCAYAGTTTTCAAAGAATTTGTTTTCTCATTGTTTTCATATTGCATGTAGAGTTGAACCTTCGTGAAAAAGAAGAAGTTCTTGTCATTGGTTTCAAAGATGGCAGTGTGTGGCAACCTGTAAGTGATAATTTTATGTCAAAAACTGAAAAAAATCACTTTAAAAGTAGAATAATGCAATCTGTATCTGTTATTGTTCACTCTTTTCCTTCATGGGTAATGACAGCCATAACTGTAGAGTGTAATCTTTAAGAATATGGTGTACAAATTAGAAACATGCAGTACTGTTTGTTGTATAGTCAGTAGCTGTGAATTGACCGTTAAGGAAGAGAGAATGCTTTGACAAAGGTGTAAAGCATTATTATAACAGCTGCATCTGGCTGCTCTATAGTGTGGGGAATCTGAATGTTATCAGTTCACTGTCTTCTTTCATTGGAAAACTCTGACCATGTGTTAAGTGTCCATGTGTACTCACTATTTTAAAGTAGCTRATGCTAAACCCAAAGGCCAACATTTCCTTCTGATAATATTGCATCTTCACCAAAATTCTCCAATATATTTTGATTCATAGTCTACTTTGAAGTATAACTTATATTTTTCTAATTCTGATTTCTACTGATTTCAAAAGGGACTTTATAATAGTAACATGTATGACTTCACACTTGAATGGTAAGTAAGGTTTTATAAGCAAATGCAAAACAAACCCATCAATTAATAGTGAACCTTTCTAGACACTTTTCCCTCGAATAAAACTTACCCCCCAAAATTAGATTTATTATTGTTGACTTRTGTAAATGAATTCCACTATTCAAGTAGGAGATTTGTTACTGAATAGCTAACAAAATCTGAATAGCCTGAGTTTKAATTTCTAAAGGACTTATAGCTCAATAGACATTGGAATAAATTAAAGCTTAAAAACTAAGGGTGATTCAATTCCCACCCAACCCATATGTTCTATGATCRGTTAGTTACCAGAGTTAATCTGTGGTTCAAGTGTACAGAAGTCTTCTTTCACACGTCATGTATATTTTTGTTGAAATTTTGTTCCTAAACTTTTTKGTGGCTATTTCAGGTGGCCTGGTATCCAGAAAGGGAAGTTTGGTTGGTTTCCAGGTAATKTTAAAATGTAGTGGATAGTGAAAACACATCCTACAATAATTTTTTTTAATTAAAATTTGTGTTTCTGAGGCATAGACAACTTATGGGCTGCTGTCTGTGACCAAGAGTTCCAGCAATACATTTTAGAAGCATTCATTTTCATCTAGGTTATCTTCAATATAATAGGGTTTTTATNTAGTTTGTGTGAAATTGCATGGCTATGCTGGTATGATCTGTCTTGTTTCCTATGGGTTGTGATAATAATAAGCGCCCGCGCGAGTAGGCTGCTTAGTCACTTCATCGTGAATATCCAAGCTCAAGACATCATTAACATATCGAGCATCAACATTTTCAGGGGATCTCTTGACATTACAACTTGACAATCCAATTTTTTTTTATTGTTTTAAGACCCACCGTAAGGATTTTCTAGTTAGAAAGAGACGGGGTTAGGTTTTCTAGTTAGAAAGAGATCCCCTGAAAATGTTGATGCTCGATATGTTAATGATGTCTTGAGCTTGGATATTCACGATGAAGTGACTAAGCAGCCTACTCGCGTGGGCGCTTATTATTATCACAACCCATAGGAAACAAGACAGATCATACCAGCATAGCCATGCAATTTCACACAAACYAATGACAACCCACAGGAAACAAGGCARATCATACCAGCATAGCCATGCAATTTCACACAAACTAGACGGTGTGAAATTGCATGGCTATGCTGGTATGATCTGCGTATTGGTAGTGTTTATTGATCCTTATTAGTAAGAGTATCTAGTACAATCTTCCATTCTGAATTCATAATTATCAATTCTGTTTACATGTATACGATAATTGTTATCTTTTTAGCCCAGTGTGTAACTGGACCCGATACAATTAACCTGTCAGTAACAGAAGAAGAGGTTTGTAAGCATTTATATTATGGAGTGTATTGATTGTTATGAATAAGGACTGGTATTTTTAGAAGCAGTGAGCATATTAATTTTAGAAGCACTCTTACGATTTTCAATCGTTTATTAGTTGACATGACAAGGGGATAGAGGAATGTATAGCTGACTAAGCACATGATT